AATTATAAATCCCCTGGTTCCATCTCAGCACTAATGAATTAGAATATCTGCAGTTTGTGTTTGGAATATGCATTCCTAAGAACTTCCCCAATGAATTTGTTCCAGCCATACTCCAGAGCAGCAGCATTAGATCAATCCCAAATATTCTCCTTTTATAATATTTTTTTATGTGCATTCCATTTTTTTTTTTTTGGCAACTATAAGTACTTTGTGTCCAATACGTGTGCTATGGGGGATGAGTCCTAAGTATAATTAGAAGAAACACTGAGATGGGAAAAGTTTAAACCAGAAAAGGGAAGTCGAAGTTGAAAACATAGTGAAACAAAAGGTAGATGTTGCTGTGGAGGATTGAAGGAGCTGAAGAAACCAGAAGGAAATTTGTGCAGATTACAGGACTGTGCCTGAGGATTGGGGCAGGAGCTGCAAAGCTACCAGGAACCCAGTACTCTCTGCTTCTCCTTCCTGACATGTTTTACTATTTTCAACTGCAGACAAGCTTCCTTTGCTGCTCTCTGCACGGGGTCACTATTCAACCCCTAGGTTTACACTGCCTCAGTGCCAGACACACACACACACACACTTCACCAAAGTTCTGAGAATCTCAATAGAATCCCAGGACAGAGAGTTGTTAGCCATATTCTGGTCAGTGTACATACACCACTGATCTCATTCCTTGGCCCTGAGACACCAGCTCACAAATAACCTATGGAGCTGCCTGAGCTAACTCTGCACCTGAGAAGGCACTTCTGGAGAAAAAGGCAATGCTGTGATTGGATCCACTCAAGGACATTTCTCATCTCAGAGTTCAAGGAACTGGCAGAGAGGAATTATCCAAAGATATTTTCCTATGGTTTTGGGACTATGGAAACTAGGAGGTTGAAATAAACAACTCCAAAAAAAAAAAAAAAAAAAAAAAAAAAAAAAAAAAAAAAAAAAAAAAAAAAAAAAAAAAAAAAAAAAAAAAAAAAAAGGGAGAGAGAGAGAGAAAAGTCTTAGCTATTTTACTGGACAAAATGCACTTAGCAAGAAAAACAAAAACAAAACACGAACCCTATTATTAGGTTGATTATATTTGTCATAGCATTCTTTGACGTGATTCTGGGTCTGGATCACAGATGTTACAGGGGGAATTGGGTTATATTGTCACTTTCTCAACACAGCTGTTTTTACTTGAGGTGGATATGGGCATTACCTGGCCACCATGACCTATATTTTCCTTTGAAACAAGGGAGTTGTCCAGTGGAGTTGGATAGTGTCCATTCCTCCACAAAGCTGTTGAAAACTATCAATCTTAGGGGCAACAGAGACCCTCAGCTTGGGAGAAAAGGAAGGAGAAAGAACTAGATTCTTCTTAACTGCTTTTTTCTTCCCCAAGTAAAATTTTTTAAAAATGTCATTAGATAGACTGGGGTGGCCTTGTTTGACACCATGCTGCAGAGATGATTAGAGCCCTTCAAAGAGAAAGACTGGCAGAAGCAAGACAGTCTGTGATCCCAGAGCCCTCAATAAAACAAGCATGCTCCCCAGAGCTGCCCAGCTTCTGTGGGTGCACTTTAAGGCAATACGTCTTAAACTTTTGTATTCAATGTGAAGTACATCTGGGAATGGGTCCAGAGACTGCATTTTCTTTTTAAATTAACAAATAATAATTGCACATATTAATGGGGTACATAGTGATATTTTGACACAAATAATGTATGAGGGCTAAGCACAGTGGCTTATGCCTATAATCCCAGCCTTTCGGAGGCCGAGGCAGGAAGATCACTTGAGCCCAGGAGTTCAAGACTAGTCTGGGAAACACAGTGAGATCTTGTCTCTACCAAAAAAAAAAAAAAAATTTTTTTTTAATCAGCCAGGTGTGGTGGCACGTGCCTGTGGTCCCAGCTACTTGAGATGCTGAGGCAGGAGGATCATTTGAGCCCAGGAGGGCGAGGCTGCCATGTTTGCACCACTACACTCCAGCCTGAGTGACAGAGCAAGACTCTCAAAAAACAAAACAGAACAAAAAACAAGAAACAAATAATGTATGGTGATAAGAAGTGTTTGAGAAATGATAAGCATTTAACATCTTTGAGTAATCGACATATCCATCATCTTAAATATTTATCATTTATTTCCATTAGGACCGTTCAATGTCCACCTAGCTATCTGAAGCTACGTAATATATTACTGTTAACTATAGTCCTTCTTCAGTGGCATAGAACGCTGGAACAGTCTGGCTGGGATTTTGCATTCTTGAACACATCTCTCCCTGTAAGTTTCCAAGTGATTCTGATACTAATGGTCCATGGAAGTAATAAGCCTTTAACGAGCACAGATTGGTAACTTGAGAAAGTTAGATAAACGACAATTGAGATCCTTCCTTCCCTATGGAACGGTTCATAGCACGGATTGACTCCGGTCCACGGCTGCCTTGCCCTCCTTTCACTTATCACAGGCCTTCACAACTGGTTTCTGGTTCTACTAAGGGCCATGAAGCTAGCGGATTCCTCGTTTCATTAGAAGCTCTGCAGTGGACCATGAAGCATGCTCAGGGAGAGAAGGGAGACGCCGAAAGAACTGGGAAAGCCAGCAGTCAGCTGCAAGTTGGGCCACAAAAGAACAGAAGAATTAACGATCCCCAGGGATTATAAGAAATATCTGGGGAGAGATATTACTGGAAAAGACTGAAAACTTCTAGTAAAGTGGATGGAGCCTGAAAACATTATAACTTGGGAATATTAACATAAAGAAGCTGAGAAGTGCTAGACATAATACTAGATACATCAACTAAATCCACGACAAAGCATCTAATTGAACCTATGAGGTAGAAAGCACCCCCAAAGTTTCCAGGGAACAAAAAATGATTACTTGGATCTAATTACATTAACCTCAAAAATGTCACTGATATTTTCTTTTAATAGCTACCAATATTATTTTATATCAGTAAACATTAAAACAATTATTAGAGATTCCCAGGTTAATTTTCAATCTATATGTCCAATCTTATTTTTCAATTAAAATCTTAATGTTGTCAACCAAGAATTCTTCCAACAGCTTGCTGTTGAGATATTGCTATCTGAAGAACTCAAACAAAAATTTTAGACTCCAATAGAGTGGATATCTCAAATGTGCACAAGCTTAATCAGAGGAGCAAACCTTTTTTGTCTAGCCTATGTATTTTCATAATTCCCAAATTAGGATGCTTCTAAATAGGCTGCGCACAGTTAAACTGACCATAATTCCCAGTGCAGGTGGGCCACACAGTGCATTTATCTGCCTGAATTCTAAAGGAGATAAGTTCATCCCTTTCATTAGCTCATCAACATATGAGTAACATTTTTATATGTGTGATTAGATGTGAACTCTCTGAGTCCTTGACCAAATGGAGTTTAAGGTTTAGCTAGAGATATAGGACATATACAAAATAACTTTAAGACAAAGTGGAGCATAAGAACTGCTTTAAGAGATGCAAAAAACTAAGGTCTTTGAGAGCACAGAGACAAAAGGTTCAGGACAGTTTTCACCAGAGCTCTCTGAACTGACTACTGAAGAATGGATGGAATTTAACAGTCAGAATGGCCTGTACGTGGGACAGTGAGGAGGAGAGACGGAATGAAGCCGCAGATGTGAAAAGTACAAGGCATCATTAAGAAAAAGCAAGAAACTGGAACAAAGTGGGAGTAAGAGGGAGTCACAGGGAAAAAGGAGGACACATTTAGTTAGAGCAAAATGTCATTCCACGGTAGCTCTCGGCTCTAAGCTCCCTCTCTTATTTCTGAGAGCAACATGGCTCTCAAACTCCAGCACGGAGGCCTGCTTCCCTGTTTTTCCTGTCCTGCTCTCTGCCTTCTTCCCAGACTTGGCAGCCTCCTGATCACGAATCTTCCCTTGATCCCGGTCATGAGGAAGCAGCCCACAACCCTTGTACAGGAATCCCATCAAGCACCCTTCCCACCCACACTGAGCAGCTGCCTTTTTCTCACTCCTCTCTGCTGAGGCATTGGGCTGTCTGATCTCACCTCCTCCCAAGCTGTACCAGGCCATGCCCCAGTACAACCCAGGCCCCAAAACCGGCGCTTTCACTGCCTCCTGGAGTCAGAGCACAGATGTTTAACTTATTACTCTTCATTTTGTCTTGGGTTTCTATAGTCACTGCCAATCAAACCCATGGGGGTTCCCCACTTTGGATAATGATTCTTTTATCTCTCAGTCTCTCCATTTAAAAATAAACCAACAACAACAACAAAAACCCATTGGGCTACATCTTTTATTCTGCACGCCCCCCATTCACCAAACCCCTATGCTTTTTTCCTCTATTCCTTTAGCCCTTGGATATCAGGACCGGGCACCCAAACTATTCCTGCCAAAGACTTACCCTTGTCACAGTGGCTACTGCCCTTACGGAATGCCAGTTTATTCCGAGTATTTTCATCACAACATCCTCTGTAAAAAAATTTAAATGTCTCTATATTTCCCCTTTTAACAGAATTAGATTCTTTTGGCTAGCTTTCAAAGACCCTCATAACCTGACCCAAGTTCTCTGCAGTTTGGTCACTGTTGATTTCTGTGAACACAGCTGGTGGTTGTTGTGGTCTTGAGCGAATAAGGCTCTTTCTCATCTTTCAAACAGCTCACCACTGCTCTGTAGAAACCCCTTCCTGACTCCCCATCAGTCAGGAAAAAGAAATCACTGATTTTTTTTCACCCTCCTAATCTCCATACACAACCTTCATAACATTGGCTTTTACACATCTTTATTTATGTTAACATTGTTTTACTTCACATTTGTTCATTCTGCCTTTACAAACTAATCTACAGCAGGGTCATGATTTTTGGTGTTTTGCTTTACTGTCATTTCAAACGTCTCACATGACGATAAACATGCCATGGGCATTTTGTAAGTGGTTATTGAATAATGGATTGGAGAGAGAGTTTCAATCGTGAACAGCTGCAATCAGTTTTAAATAGTTATCTAAGAGTTACAGGAAAAAATAGAGCTATGCTCTATGCAGACTTACCAGAGAAGACGCTAGGTATCTTGGAAAGAAAGCTTTTGACCGTACGAATAGGAATTCCATTTTTTTCATCTTGCATACGTGCTATGACGTCTTCCATCTAAACAACAATAACATAATTAAAACCTTTATGAATTTGAACTTTTTTGAAAAAAAATCAGCTCTCATAACAATTTTGTATTCATTTTGCCCAACTAAGAATAATGCCATATATCTTGCCTTTCTAGTTTTTGCCACATTGTTTAAGTTCTGTTAAAAAGAGATGGAGGAAACAGCAAGAAAAATGGCCATTTTAGAGTCCGTTAAGCTACCAATAGGAATTGTGTGCTTTGAATATTGCCTTTCTCCTTACTTCATGCACTTTGGTTATAAAGGTTAAGCTGAAAGAGTATTTATTTCTCAAGTCTTTAGAAACCATTGTCATAGCGAATTCATGCTTCATTAATGTTATCTCTACTGAAGTCAGTGCAAAAGAAAGTAGAGCCTTAAAAGCATCTGCTTGAATTGCTTCTTCAAGCAAGAGATTTTCCATGAATTTGTTTTACAATAAAGCTCCAAAACCTGCCTAGAAATCCAGGACTGATTGCCAGCAACTATTACATCTCTTGTCCAGGTACTTACTGAGGTGTGTTATGAAACACACACACATACACACTCTCATGTACATACACACATGCATGTGCACACATTTTCCACACATGCACACATATATGCACACCGGTACATATACACATACATGTACGCACACATATGCACGCACACATTTATATACACAATAAAATGAATGTAATACCACAGGCTTCTGCCCATTTACTAGATTCCACTTTATCTTTGTTTCCATCTTGTTAGTACAGGTATTGATTGACTTACGACCTATGCAACTTATGACCATTCGACTTTACAACCACAATCGCCAGCCATGACTGCTCCACGTCTGGCAGCGCAAACGTTGCCCAGCTGGGCGTACGACAGTGCGGACCAGCTTCCGGCAGCACTACCATCTCCGTGTGCACCATTTCAACTGTACATATAGCCTACTCAACTTACGACCAAATCGTGTTACGACCGGTCTGCCGGTCCCGATCGTGGTCGTAAATCGAGCGCTAGCTGTACACTCGTTTACTTTTACAAACTGCTCACAGTTCTAAAGGCCTGTGCTTCATAAAGTCAATGTGGAATTTAGTTTTGAAGAACATTCATTCATTCAAATCATAGCCACAGACTTTCCTCATGTGCTTGTAACCTGTGAGAGGCGTAGACACACAAACACACACAAGTTGTAGTATGGGACTTAAAATCCATTCATCCATTTATTTATTTCACAACCACTTATCATTAACTCTAAACCAGATATACTACTGGGCACTGTGGATATAAAAATGCATACAATACAGTTCCTACTCTCAAACACTTCAGTCCATAGTGACAACCAAGGTGAAACTGGAGTAAAGTATGTAGTTTAGCTAATAGTGCTGTACCAATGTTAATTTCTTGTTCTGATAATTATGCTATGGTTATGTAAGATATTAACATTAAGGGAAGCTGAGTAAAGGGTATATGGGAATTCTGCTATCTTTATATCTTTTCTGTACGTCTAAAATTATTTCAAAGTAAAAACTTAAAAAAAATCACTCTAAACTTTGTATTAATGAATTACCAAATTTCCATCAACTCAGCTTTAGAATGGTTTTCAGCTAACAAATCTAATGTGCTTGGTATCAACGGATGTATTACTATGACAAATAACCAGGGGTGTGGAAAGAATGGGTTTTAATGAAACACAGGTTTGTATTTGACTTTTAACTCTCCTAATTATTATCTATGTTCTTTAAGTTAAATAACCTCTCTAAGACTCCGTTTTCTGATCCATAAAATGGTGTTAATAATACTTATAATAATTCCTTTATAGTGTTCTTCATGGGACCGCACTGGGCCTAGGGTGAGGTAAAGTATTTTAAGGACAAATGACACAACATATATAAAGCCTAGTACATATATAGAACAATAAATATTAGATTAAATGTCCATGAACATTCATGATATCTGGGGATGCTTATTCTCCATGTTCATGTTTCATTTCATGAGGAAGGAGCACCATAACCCTAATTCGCCTGCCTGTCTGTCCCCTAATTTACTCCACAGGAGCTGAGCTGACTTATCGGACAGAAGAGCTGGGAATGAGAAACTGGCCGGCAGGGCCCATTCTTCTCTTGGCTAGAAGCCCACATCCAACTCAGCTGATGTAGAGATGCCCGCCATGGTAGGTGAGTAAGTCTACTCAGGATTGTGTTTGAGGATTAACGTTGACTTATGCACATTCTTCCATAACACCTTTATCAGCAATCAGAGTGATGTTGTGACCCCTACGTGCCTGTCTTTATGGTTGTGGTTCTCAGTTGGCTCAGAATTCAAGTATAAAAAGATGCAGCTGGGTGCTGTGGCTCACGCCTGTAATCCCAGAAATTTGTGAGGCCAAGGCAGGCAGATCACCTGAGGTTGAGAATTCCAGACCAGCCTTGCCAACATGATGAAGCTCCGTCTCTAATAAAAATACAAAAATTAGCCAGGTGTGGTGGTGTGCACCTGAAATCCCAGCTACTTGGGAGGCTGAGTCAGGAGAATCACCTGAACCCCAGAGGCAGAGGTTGCAGTGAGCTGAGATCGCACCACTGCACTCCAGCCTGGGAGACAGAGTGAGACTTCGTCTTAAAAAAAGATGCTTTTATCAGGCCTCAAAAAGACACCAACAGTAACCAAATATCAAATAGCCTACTTCTCATGGAATAAAGATCTCTCACGACTTTTTATGTTGTTACTATTTGCTCATGATTGACCTGCCACAATGTTCAGAAATGCAGAATAAGCTGCTTTGTCCTGCCCCATATCAGCCTCTAAACCCTTGTATTATCTCCTTAATGGTTTAAAGCAGGCTGGATCAGAGGGACACGGAAACCTCTCTGACTCCCACTTTTGTCTCAGCACCTAGAGACGTGGCAACAGCCCCCTCTGGTTGGGCTGAATTACGGTGCATACTATGAGTGGCAGCATTTTCTTTGTACAGTCTCATCCCCTCTCAGTTCATTGGATCCCAAAGGAGTGAGAATAGGAGGCTGGAAAGTAAAAGTGATTTCTGTGGCTGTATTTCAAAATCTTCCATTTTTCTGAGTCATAATTTCCACAATAGAAAAAAATTTTAACTTAAGTAAAAATAGGATTGGTGTTCTAGACTGAAAATGTGAAAATGTACATGCATTCAGCTGTTTTTATCTTTTTTCAGACATGATTTATCCATGAACTTTGCCATAGCCTAGAATGAGACAAACACAAACAAAACAACAAAACAAATGAAAAAACAAAGACACATACAAAAAACCAAAACCCTGCTTTCTAAAAATTAAAATCTATGAGGAAAGAAAAACAAAATTCTAGCCCTCAAATGACTGAAGGGACCCCCTGTTGACTGAAGGAACCCCAGGGAAACCCTGGAAGCTAAGCTCATGGCCATGAGGGAATGCAGGTTGGGGCACACCTCGCTGTACCCCTCCCTCACTAACCACCATTAGGCTTTCTTCTCCAAGGGCTAAGCAGAAACTGACCCTTTTGAAAGATTCCACATTGATAATGTCCATTAATGACTTATCTTCCCAGTACAGACAAAGCTAAAATGAGATTATGCATTCCTTCACTCCTCCTTAAGATGTCTGCTGCCTCCATTCCCTTGTTTTTCAAATGTTCACGTTATCTTATGTAAAATGTAAACTTCCAGGGCCCTAATTAAAGTCTCACAAGTATGTAACCATTCCTCTCACTGTTGCCTCCTGCTTTTTAAGGAAGATGTATAACTACCAAACCTTCTGAGAACCTCTTTGGGAAAAGCAGCCACACAGGCATCCGTAACTTGTCCTCAAGCTGGCTCAGTAAGCCTCAATGATTGAGATTTATGACTCAGTCACTCGTTTTGGTTGTCACAGTCACCAAGGTCACATAAAAAAACACATCCATCTTATCCACTGACGTTTCCTTAAGCATTCACTCACAGTCCACTAATTTTTATATTAAGCATGACTTTAGCATGCTTGGTGGTCTGTTTTCTCATTAGCAAGAGCAATTGGATGAGAAAAAAATGCTTAAAGGAGGCAAAAAAAAATAGAGCAAGTTAGACAGTAAGAAGTATGAGAGATAGTAAAAAACAACTCCAATAAATATGAAAACATTTGAGACACTTTAAGGCCAAAAGACTCAGGTACCTCAGGTATCTCTCATATGTGTGTGTGTGTATCTCTGTGTATGTGTATGTATATATGTATATACAGGCATGTATATATACATACACACAAGTATATATGTGTGTATATATACGTATGCATATACATATATATGTACGCATATGCATATGTATATATGTACATGTGTATATATTCATGCACACACCTATATATATGCATGTATAGATGCGTGTATGTGTATACACACACACATATTACACACATGAATATATTCATTAAAATGCCACTGAGTTGTGTGTTTTCGCTTCATAAGCCTGTTTCCCAGGGTGAGGAAACTGAACATGGAAGAAGAGAACACTAGACTGTGGACATGGACAGGAGAGCTGGCATGCCTTGGGTCACCAAGGATTTTTCTGAGGGCTATTTTCTTTACTTTTAAAATAAAAAGCTTGAAGTGGGTGATCTGTAAGATTTCTTCTAGCTACAAAATTATTTAAGCCTGGAAATAATCATCAGCATTTAGAAGTAGGTACGTTTCCACATTAAGTCAAAGAGCCAATTCCCTGTTAGAGACAAATAGATGAAGCTACTAAATTAAACAAGGCCAGGCCAGGCATGCTGGCTCAAATTACACCAGTAATCTCAGCACTTTGGGAGGGCGATGCAAGAGGATGAGTTGAGCTCAGGGGTTTGAGACCCCCTTGGGCAACACGGCAAAACTCCATCTCTACAAAAAAATACAAAAATTAACTGGGCGTGGAGGCAGGCACCTGTGATCGCGCTACTCAGGAGGCTGAGGTGAGAGTATCGCTTGAGCCTGGAAGGTCAGGGCTGCAGTGAGCTGTGATCCTGCCCCTGCATTCCAGCCTGGGTT